CCGTAAACCGTAAACCTAAACCTAACGTAAACCTAAACTAAACTAAACAAACTAAACTAAAGTAAACTAAACGTAAACTAACGTAACTAACGTAACGAACTACTACGTCTCTCTCTCTCTCTCTCTCTCTCTCTCTCTCTCTCTCTCTCTCTCTCTCTCTCTCACACACACACACACACACACACACACACGCACACACACACACAGAATCAATCATATTGAGAAATGAACAGTCTAATAACCACAATAGAGTACAGTACAAGCATGAAACCCTAAACCATAGCACTCGTATAACATAAGGAATTAGAAAACCCCTAAATAAAAAACTAAGGGCCGGAGATAAAGCAAAACCAGGACTCACTGTACAAAACAACCTCACAAGAAAAGCCCAAGATTCAACAATATCACCAAATAAAACACCCCAACTAGAAACAAATTCCATGTTACAAAAAAAAAAAGAAAACAATTCTTAACTTTAATATTCCCTGGTGCAAATAGTAAATAACATAATTGAAAAAAAAAAAACTAAATTCTAGGTTTACTCATCGGAAAATAAGATAATGAAAATCAATAAGAAAAATAGGAAGAAACCCCCAATTCCAGTATTTACATGCTACTCATTATTCCTTGATCCACATAAAACCTAAAACACCTCTCAGGAAAAAACCCTAATCCATAACTCGAAACCCCAATTCACAGCCAGTATCATGGTTGAGAGATTCCAAATTTCCTATCCATAAACCCTAAACATTAAAGCATGCAATTGGATAGAATGATACACAAACAAAGCGAACAAATATAATGCAATGGATCTTATTTTGATACAATAAAGGGGCACAGAAACAGCCAATAGTTCCAAATAAGACATGATATAGATTACCCTCAAATTAGAAGCGTCGGGCCTTTGCACAGAGACACAAAGAGAGGGGCCTCTCTCTGGTTGCTCTTTAGAGCGAGAAATATAGAGAGAGAAAAACAGGAAAAATAAAAAAACAATCCTTAAGAAAGACATGGAGTTTCGGACCATACCTTATAAGAGAGAGCCTCTTCGCCTGCTGCTCGCCTCTTATTCAGAGAGAGAGAGAGAGAGAGAGAGAGAGAGAGTTCACCCCTCTGATTGATTGTTTTTTTTCCAAAGAGAGAGACAGAGAGAGCTCCCCTTACGGACTTTTTTTTAGAGAGAGAGAGGAGAGAGCTCTCCCTTGCTTTCCTAGAAAGAGAGGGAGAGATTTAACAAAGAAAGATGAGGAGGCTGCAATCGGGTTTTTATTACTTTTACGAGTTTTTACAGCAAGATGAATTACGGGAAAATGATGAAAATTGAAAATGACTAATATACCCCTAATTCGCTCCCTGAATTGCTAATATGTGCTTCTGGTTGTGGTTTGTATAACGTGCAGATCGTGTACGATTGAAGTATGGAAAAAGTTTATATAAAGATGCTACTTTATAATGTAGAACTACGGATGTCCGTCAAAAATTCATCGGAAAAAGTAGTTTTAATGTTGAAAAGCCCTCGACATCGAGATGTATGACTATGAAAAATAAAAAGATTTTAAATCTCAAAATTAGTGTATTTTACAACATATTATCTATACCATCCATTTTCAAGATTTTCATATGTTTATAGATCTACTTGATTTTAACCATTTTTGAAATTTAAAATCTTATAATTAGATATAAAAATAGATATTGAGATAATCCTAATAACATTTTACATTAAAATTATATACCATGATAAAATTTGAAGGGCATCTTACCTCTACATGTACGAAGGCGTCCATATCCAAACTGCACCCTTAAAGTATATTGAAAACGTAGTTTTGATGTACCTCAAAACAATATTGAAAATGTAGTTTTGGTGCCGCTAAGCCTTGCGATTATATAATTTATTGTTGCCCCCAATTATAAAATTTAAAGTTCCATAAATGGCAGTGATCAAATATATCTATAAACACTTAAAAATCTTAAAAATAGACGATCCAGATAATGTGTTCGAAGATGAAGTATTTCTAGGATTAGAAATCAATTTTTTTTTCATATCTATGACTGTAGAGGTCGAGATGATCAATTTAAAAGTTTTCCAACATAAAAACAACTTTCTCTAGTGGATGTTTTAGATGCACTTTACTCATACCGGTGGACACCTTACGTAAACTTTTTCCTCTCATATTAGTTAGGTTTATGATGGTGACACCTTACGTAAACTTTTTCCTCTCATATTAGTTAGGGTTATGATGGTAATTTATTTCTCTCTTTTATAAAACCTTACAATAGGCTTCCCTAAATTGCCAAGGGGTTCTTCTGATATTAGTTGTCCATTTAGGGTTAGGATTGCAACTTATTTTTCTCCTTTATAGAGCCCTTAAAATAAGCTTTTCTTTTTGCTTAGATGATGTTAGCCACTGGGTGGGATTGAAGAATGAATATGACTAAAATACCACTGACCTCGGTTCTAATTACTACAGCGATGATTGTGATATTACTTTTCTTTTCTGGGGTACAATTATAATTTAAGCTTCTTCTGCTGTTTTCTATAAACCCCATAATTACCAAAACCCTATAATTACCAAAAAAAAAACCTAAACCCTATGGTATTTTTAGGTCGGCGATTAATTTTTTATTAAATGGCTTTTATTTGAATATTTAAGTATGCACAATCTAAACTTATCTCCTGTTCTTGAAAAAATCATAAACTTTCCAAAATTTATCCGATGAACTTAAGATCCATGAATAATTATCCACTTTGCTTTTTATCTTATATGAGATCCATGAATAATTATCCACTTTTGCTTTTTTATCTCATATGAAAATGGACTGCATAAATTACGTCAATAATTATTGAAAGGGTGTGGTTTTCAAGGTTGCATCTTTAAACAATCCAATTAAGGCGCAACTCAAAATTTTATGTAATTTTGTTGTAAAAAATTTTTAGTATTATTTTAAAATTTATTTTCATACTTAATTATAAAATTTTAAATTTCAAAATTGGTTAAAATCAAGTACATCTATAAATATATAAAAATCTTGAAAATGGACGGTTTAGATAATGTGTCGCAAGATGCACTGTTTTTTATATTCAAAAACTTTTTTTTTCATATTCATAGATCTCGATGTCGAGATGATTGATTAGAGGGCTTTTTCTACATTAAAACGACATTTCCGATGGATTTTTGAGATATATCTATGATTCTCCATTTCAAGGTTGCAACCTTATATAAACTTTTCCCTTATTGAAATTACTGAAAAATATTCTATTCTATCATCTTCACCCGAACTTTATCGCAACTGCTTCGATCGGTAAATTGTTGAAAATAAACATTCTATCATCATCATCATCGGAGCCTTATCCCCGTCTCTTAATCGGCCGAAGAAAGAATCTCACCTACCCTTAGAGCTGACCCTACTGCTTGGATCGACAAAAATATGTATTAAATTTATTGAATTTAAAAAATATGCTACTCTGGCTGAAACACACTATCCAATTTGCATATACTAAATTTCTTATAATGTATATATGTGCCATAATTAGAATAGGGAAAGGTTTCTATGTTTCCCCTATAGCATAGAAGCTCTATCCTCCCCTTACCATCCAGCCATCCAATTTTGATCAAGAGAGCCATTCACCGCTTGATTAGATCCGACGTCTCAAAGTATTTTATTTTTAGTTTTTTTTATACAAGTTGTATGAATATGAAATTTGGTATGTACAATCCTCTCATTGGGGCGCACCTACAAAAGATATTAAAAATAATTTTTCAATTAAATATAATGATCAAAATACCCTTTGAATCTTTTATGGGTATTTTGATCATTTTATTTTATTGAAAATAATTTTTAATATTTTTTGCTAGTGAAAGTTTAATAGAGGAATGGACGTCCAAAATTTGGTATCAAATAGTTTATAGAAAAAAATTAAAAATGAAATAGTGTAGAGACATTGTGATTGGGGCAATCTCAGCCCTCCATTCAGAATAGAGGGTTGAAAGGGGGAGGATAGAACTTTTATGTTGTAGAGGAAGCATAAAAAACTTGCCCATTAGAACAAAGGGCATGAGTTTTCATTAGTTCGATAATAATCTCAATTTTTCTGTCTATAGTATAGTCCTAATTGGTAAGATCTTTTTACGTGCATAAAATAAAGCTCCAGTTTGTATAAGGTTGCAATTTTATTGGTAGAAATAAGTTTGCAATGCTCAACACTGCATATTTTATTTAGATGGTGTAAAATTGACACATATTTTATGCCAGTGCATGACATGTATTTTATGACATTGCTCAATCTACACCGTTGAGATTTATGCAACTCTACTTTTACAAATGAGATTGCAACCTTACTTAATTTTTTCCATAAAATAAATGGTAAAGTTTATTTCAATCTACAATTCAGTTCTCGATTTCTTATTGTTGAGGTGAAAGGAATATGAGTATTACATCACGTTTCTAAAATTTTGTTTTCTTGTTGATAAAATATTGTGTTTATTAAAATAAGATATTTGGAAATGAGTAATACAAAATATGCCAAAGTTGTAAATTAATTATTTAAACTTAATGAGAATTAAAACCAATGTAGAAATAACACACTTTAAACTAAACTAAGAATTTTTATTTGAAAATAATACTAACATTATGTGGAATGTTTGGTGGGACTGTGTCAAAAAGTTGTCCAAGAAAACAATTTATACGAATTGAAAATTTGGGAAATCAAAATAATTTACAATTATGACAATTTAAAAGATTGGTTTGATATTTGTTGTATTTTTATTAGAACTAATGTTTGAAAATTTTCATCATGTTATGTTAATTCAAATTGACACAAGTATTGAAGAAAGCAAAATAGCGGACCAAGACTCGTGCATCCGACCCCAAATAGTTGGGAAAAGGCTTTGATGATGACAAATTAAATTAAGATATGTAAAAATAAATTATTTTATATCTTTTATCATTTTTTTGAAACCTTAATTTTAAATGTCAATTTAAACTTAGTTATGCCAATTTAAGAATGGGAGTTTGAAATGAGGAATATTACCCTATTAAAATTTTGAATTCATAGTAAGATTTCTATTATTTATAAAAAGAAAAAGTTTATATATGGTTGCAACCTTAAAATGTAGAATTACAAATGCACCTCAAAAATCCATCGAAAAATGTTGTTTTAATGTTGAAAAAACATCTAACTGATCATTTCGACATCAAGATGTACGAAAACGAAAAAAAAAAAAATAGTGCATCTTGCAATACATGATCTAGACTGTCAATTTTTAAAATTTTCATATGTTTATAGATCTACTTGATTTTAACCATTTTTGGAGCTTAAAATTTTATAATTAGATATAAAAATAGATTTTGAGATAATCCTAAGAATTATTTTTGCCAAAATTAGATATTATGATGAAATTTGGAGGTGCACCTTAATTGAATTGTTTAAGGTTGCAACCTTATAGAAACCATACCAATCCAAAATTAGATAAAAATATTTTATAATTATCTAAATTTTAAATAAGAGATATAAATCCTATGTTTATATTTTTTCTCCTAATTGGAAATAGAGTTTGAGGGGATTAGGAGTCAAAGCTAAATAAAATGATGTTATGTTCCATTGATATCATTATGCCATTATATGTTCCAAGTAAATATCAACTTGCATCAAAGGCTGATGGTTTTATTTATTTAATAGCAATCTTTTAGAATTTTATAGATGCACCAAAGTCCTAACAAAATTTCTTTACATGAATTGAATCCAGACAAAACCCTAAGGTTATAAAGCTCCTCAATTTTCAATTATTAGTATAGAACCTTCCTAACTTTAAAATAGTTATTTATGAATGTTATATTCTTTTTGCCAATTTAAATAATATATTTGAAACAATTCAAAACTATGTTGATTTAAAAAAAAAGGCTAACTAATTTAAAATTATGCCAATTTAAATAAATAATTTAATATCTTATCTTTAATATCTATATCTATACTATAGTAAATCAATATAGATTCTTAATTGTGGCTTCATAATGTAGTATAGATATCATTATCATCATCATTAACAAAGCTTTTTTCCAACCAATTGAGGTCGGCTACATGAATCTTGGTTTGCCTTTCTATTTTATTAAAGATTTCATAAGCCCCATATATTTTCTCACTACTTCCA